AATAATTTGAGTTAGGAAAAAGATATTAAGATGCGGTTTGCGCAGGCTTATTGGTTGGTCATTTGTCTATTTTCTAGTCTAAAAAAAGTCATATCATCGCATTTAAATTTTTTGAGAAAATCCAATATTTTGGTTATAATATCGAATAACGCCCTCTATCGGCGGCCGTGTAGGTCGCAACTGTCATGATTACGAGAAACCTAAAAGCCCAAGAAATGCTCTTTTCAATGATACCAAATTTATCCAAATCCATTAAGCCGTTTCGAAGTTACAGGCATTTATTTCAAACAACATTCAAATACCCCCCACCACTTTATTTCGAAAGATAGAGAAAAATTGTTTTTACAAAAAATGTTCGACTTTAAGTTAACATTAAAACGCAAATACTTTTTTGTTACATTCATTGGGGAAAATCGTGAGAAACGTAACTTTATGTAATTCAATATGGTGGAAACGCCCACTGGCGGCCATCTTGGAAACTTGAAAATAATTTCCAGCATTTTCCCTTGCCCACTTTACCTATAAAATTTTTTACCGTAGCACTCTACGATCACTAGTTTCTAAGATACAGCCGCTTACCTCGCTTATTTGCCCACCCTGTACATAATATTATATTGATAATATATCCATAGGTGTATCAGTTGGGACTTGTCACAAGGCATTAAAGATGCAGCTGCATATAATTATGTACATGTACCTTTGGACGCTGTGTACCCCATTAAGATGTCGACCAACCCATTAGACCCTTAGATAACCTTAATGCAGCTAGATTATAAAAGCCTCGAATGTTAGAAATTAGTTCAGTTCTTTTTGGTTGTTAAGCTAGAGAGCTCGTCCTAGTTTGTAATTTAACAAATAAACATTTTTAAAAACATCTTTTCAAGAGTTGTGAATTTAATTATATGCATCGCTATAAGGTTTCTGTTGTTCAAGTTATATTCTCCTGTTCCAACCAACGAGTACAATACTGTAAATGGCTTAATGAACATTTAAATGGCCATAATTTATTTGACCTGACGTTTTATTTGGATAAGGTTTGGGTACATTTATATGGTTATATAAATAGTCAGAATTATAGAACTTGGGCTTTAAAAAATCTGCATAATTTTATTGAAACATCGTTACATCTCCAGAAGATAGGTACACTCTAAATAAATCGGTCTCAGTGAAAGCTGAGTGAATCCATTGAGTCATTATTGAGTTCAGTTTTAATCAATATTGGACATTTTGATAATTTTACACATTTTTTATAATATTGGAACTAATACTGGTAGTTCCACTCATAAAACTTTTATTGTACTTACTGATACTAGTAGAGGAAAATTTCAAACGGGTGGACAGAAATTGATACATTATTGACTGAAATTGAGTGAAAATAAGTCCAATTTTTAATACAGTGTACCTGGATAGCAGTTTCAAGAAGACGGATATTAGGCCCAATTTTTTTCCGAGAAGTAATAAATGAAGAATGATACCGTAACATTTTACAACAACCCTGGAATTAATACATGAAGATGAACTGCAGCATATATATTTTCAACAAGATGGAGCCATAGCACATAGGTACTCCAGCAGAAACTATAACTCTAGGGAAAATTTGTATTGGAACTGGTCATGTTTAACGTCCCCTGTATAAATCCGAGTGATTGCCCACATGTTCTGAGACAGCTGGTGTAGGAATACAAAAATTTAAAATAATTTTACAAATAGAATTTATTATCCAGGAACAAAATTTATATTTGTAAAATGCTCACCTGGTATGGGTTGAAATGCTCTCCAAGCTTCTGGCATCCCTGTCTTAAATCACCAGACTGATGTATGTGAAAACCATGCCGTCCTGCTGGCAGACCAGTTATGTTGCCACGAATAACAGTTGGTCCCACCGGTGGTCGTTTTTGCAAAAACAATATTTCACCCTTAATCTGGCTCTCATCCTCACCTCGAATTACAGCTACAGCTAATTTTGACCTCAAATTCTGTAAATAGGGAACTATGAAAGCTGTAGGTTATTTGCTTTTCTTTTTAAATAAAAACAAAGACATTTAATTTACGTAAACTTTGTAGTGACAATCAAATAAATCAAATAAATAAACAGTACGTAGTAATCTGTGGACAAACTCACTCACACACGCACAAATGGCAATGAAATGCACGGCCAACGTCCCTCAGGAAAAAACCTGGATTGTTCACCGGCACGCTAGGCTGACAGGGCAGGCATTAGGGTACCGCTAGATACGTATCGAATATGGACGTGTTTATAGACCAAAAACGAATTATTCGTTGTCTTGCTGGTGTATCTAACAATTATTCTTAGATTCGTGCCGAGAGTTATCTAAAAAATTTTAAATTTTCCCCGATTTGTGTTTTTATGTTCGACGTGTTTTTATTCTTATAAGGATGATTTTACTCTAAAAAGTATATTCATCAGAAAAATACAAGGTTCAAGAATACATTTCATATTTCATGTACCGTTTTGTAAATATGTTGTAATAACTCTCCTACTATTTTTAATATGTTACCTGTCGCGATATGTACCTTGTGACAAAAGTTTTTTATAGATTGTAGGAATTTTACTATAGTGGAATTAGTAGTAGTTAAGTAAAACTGTGACCATTACTAAGAAATGTTAAATTTGTCTACTAAAAAATAAATTATATTTTGATTAATATTATTATTATTGTTGTTGTTCTTATTGTTAATACTATTGCTATTATTATTGTTATACTTACTGTTACTGCTACTGCTACTGTTATTTCAATAAGCTAAGTTAGTCAATAAAATATATCTACCATTTTAGTAAAAAAAAATAAATTTTAATGAGGCTACCAACTTTATATTATTTTTCTTTGCAACAATACATCAAATTTCTTAAAATTTATACAAACAAAAAAATGTGATAAAGAAACAGAAGATCGTTTCAAGTATTCTTAACAGCCTCTATATATTTTAGATTAGAAATAACTCAATCTCCATCTTAGACTACCACAAAAACCTTCTTACGTCAAATTACATACACATATCTTAAAAAATGGCAGTTATCTAAAAAAAAGTAATACAAAAATATATTTTTAAAAGCCCTATTGTAGGGACGCAAAATAGTACTAAGGTAACTTGAGCTAAATCGGTTTAATTTCATCTAATGAAAAATCTGCCCTGAACTACTCCGGGCGCTCTGTGTAAGTAAATAATTTGTTTATTGGCAGGTATACAGAATGTCCCGAAATTCATGCAACAAAATTTTGTCATAGATTCTTAAGACAAATTTAGGGGACCCGTATTTTTTCTTTTTGCCAACTGGCTCTCTCTCTTTCGGAGTTACATAAATCTACCCCTAAGAAGTCTTTTATATATCAAAACCATGTTGTACGAGAATCACTAAATTTGGTACACAGGGGTTTTATGACATGATTGTGGAATCTCACAGTGCTACGCTTTTTGGTGAGAAACCCCCTTGACACTTTTTCGTGGGCCCCCTTTGGAACCAGAAAAATGTGGTCGCAAATTTGATTTTTTTTTTAATTATTAGTTAGCTACAAAGCCATTGAATTTAGAAACTTTTTTGTCTCCTCATATTTGTTTCGTAAAACGCAATGTTTTTGAGGAAAATGGCTCATCACGATATGCATTCGATATTTTGACATGTTTCTCGAAAACATTGCGTTTTATGAAAAAAGTATAGAGACAAAAAGTTTCTAAATTTAATGACTTTGATATACTTTAATGAACTTTTAGTGGATGATAATTTTTAAGAAATTTAAATATGCGACTAATTTTTTTTTTGGCTCCAAAGTCAAGGGGGCCCAGGAAAAATTGTCTTAGGGGGGTTCCCCGCCAAAAAACGTAGCACCATCAGATTCCACATGCCATAAAACCCCTGTGTACCAAATTTAGTGATTCTCGTACAACAGGGTTCTGAGATATAAAAAAAAGATTATTCTTAGGGGCGGACTTCAGGGGGCTGAAGGCAAAAGGCTTGGCAAAAATAAAAAATACGGGTTCCTTAAATTTGTCTTAAGAATCTGTGACCAAATTTTGTTGCATGAATTTTGGGACACCCTGTATACGTTTTTTATGAACTTATTATCTTATTACAATCTTGAACTAAGTAAAACTTCACTAAAGTAACGTATTCTTTTATTTATTATTTATTGGGTATTTAGCCACCTATGGAAAAAAATTATGAAAAAAGTCGCCCTTGCTCTAAAAAAGTCGGTCAAGGGTTATTTTTTATGAAAATAATTTTTCGTAACAAAAATCTCACGCTGAAAAAAGAAAATAAATTCAATGTTTTCTCATTTTCATTGTGAGATTTTTGGTCAAGCAATACTACTTTCATAAGAAATGACCATTGGTTGATGGTTTTTGGCGCAATTTAATTCATTCTTTAATTTTTTTTTCAGTTCACAAAATACCCAATAAATAAAACAAAAGGAAAAACTATGTCACTAATAAGTTAGTTAGAACAATCAACATATTGTTAACAAAAATATTTTAGATATGTTCCTGTATGTAGTATAAATTAATATGTAATTTTACATTTATTTTCTCTGAAAAATCCCCATATACATTATAGCATGGCAGTTACAACTAGCGACGATGCGGCATCCGAAGTTAGCAACATTGACGCAACTTTCAATATTTGTGGAATAATTGCTAACCGTTGTTATAATTATTGACGCCAATGGGTAGTTTTGTAAGGAATTTTTACATATTTATTGTTTAATCCCATATATTTGGAATACTAAATCCAGATAGTATAGGTATGTGACAATAGGAACTTCTATGATTCTGCACCATTTTCCAGTATGTGTGAAATAGCTGACATAGATACCAGCAAACATAAAAATTAGATGTTATTAGCAAATCTACAACAAAATTTAAATTAGAAAGATAAAAAGCAGATTATTTTTAAATCAAGCAATGGAATATTTGACCGCCTAATGTCGGCACTTTTATCATTTTATTACAAGACAAAATTGTGTTTCAATAGAGATTTGATTATGATAAAATAATTTTGAATTTTATCATCTGAATCAATATTAATATTTTAATTTGTTGAGGACGTCAATCACTTATTTTACAATGAGTAGATAGGTATACTTATTTTTTCTACTTAAATATGCGAACATAAAAATTTTCTCACAATTTAGTTGGTGCAAATATATTTCGTCTTATGCCGAAAATGCTATTTTCTTAAAATAATAATAAGTTTATTTACAAAAGTATATGACAAATCTGGGACAACATAAAATCGCCAACATATAAAATATTAATAAAAGAAAACAATAATAAAGTTACAAAATAATATACATATATTAAAACAGAACTTACGCAAATAAACTAGTAAATCACTGAAGCGGCTGCTACCGCTTGCGTGTAATATACATACACTAATCAACAGAAAACATAATACACTTTTTGAACACATACGTAAGTAGAAAAATTATTAGTAGACATTTTATTGCACTTTATGGCGGGGAAGCGTATGTAGAATGATAATATATAAAAAACTAACTAGAAAAAAGTGACGATAAGTTGGCAGATTACGAATAAGTTTACAAAAAGTTTGCAAAATTACATGTTTCTTCACTTTTTTTACTGTCCAAATCTAGACGATATATCGGAAAATTAATTGTTTTATGTTGTAGGCAATAAATTACCTACAATTTAAGGTACCTGAGGTCACTTTTCACCTATTTGTTAACTATAAAATAAAGGTCGAACGTGGAAAAATCAGTTTTCGAAAATTACTCATTATTATTATAAAAAGCGATGCATGTCGAAGAAATTTATGGAAAAGACGGTCAATCCAAACACCAACATGTGTGCCAAAGGTTGATTCGATTGACCTTGAAATTGTTGCTCCAGATATTTGTTAATTAATTTCGTTCATTTTCTTGCAACTAATTGTTTAATTACCAAACGTTAATTTTAAACGTTAATATCGTAGATATAGGGTCTAATTGATCCATAGAAACGTATCAAAAAAGAAACATTTCAAAGAATTGAAATTAAATTGCCCTTTACAACTAAGTAGGGCGTGCAAAACAGCGTTATAAACAAATTGTCCCAAGGCCAAAAGCCACTCGGGAATTTGCTCTTTTTGCATTAAATAGAGCAAATTAAAAAGACACTGAACCGAATATGAGATACTGAACGTATCGGAACGAAATTTTAGAGATAATTAAAGAAAGGGTTGTAATGTAATAAACGCGTTAGCAGCAGAAAAAATTAACAACCTACACGCGTAAGGAGTGCCGGACGCACGCGCGTGAGCTGCGCTCTCGATGGCGCGCGATATTTTGCCTTCAATATTATTTTACAGTTAACGAATAAGTGAAAAGTGACTTCAGGTATTTTAAGTTGTAGATAATTCTACAACATAAAACAATTAATTTTCCGATATGTCGTCTAGATTCTCATGGACAGTAAAAAAAGTGAAAAAACACGTAATTTTGCAACTTATTTGCAATTTGCCAACTTAGTGTCACTTCTTTCAAGTTACTTTTTTGTATTATCATTCTTCATACCCTTCCCCGTCATAAAGTGCAATGTCTACTACCTAAAAATTATTTCACGTTCAAACTCTAATTCAACTGGAGTAAGAAGCAAGATAGTTCAAATTTATTTACCGTATTGTTTTTACAGATCTCGGTTTAGTATAATAATTGTCTCTGTTCCTAGTACCTACTATATGAGTGACTGTGGAATTCAATAGGTAACGGTTTCTAGATTACTCCTTACAACACCAATACTTGTGTTTCAAATTGCTTTGTATTAAATTATGTACCTTTCCTCTAATTCCATAATATTTAAATGTTTCCAGTATTTTGTGGCTAACTGTATCGAATGATTTGGAGAGATCAACGAAGATGCACAGCGCAGAATTTTTCTTATCGAAAGCATTGTATACAGCGTGATTTAGTCATAATATCATTAATTTTAATCACGTATTCGGAAGACTTAATAAAGACAG